TGGAATAATTTAAAGACTTTTTCATTTAATGTTTTTTATCACCGACATAGTACTGATTCGGTGTGAATGACAGTGTACTGCCAGTACTGGTTTTAATATTTTTTTACCTCCGACATAGTACTGATTCGGTGTATTAGTCAGTACACTGCCAGTACTGAAAGTCAATACCGACAGCCAGTATTGGATCAGTACCATGCCGGTGTTTAATTACGGCGAGCTACGGATATTTCTACTTGGGATTCTAGTGAAATTATTTGTTGTTTCAAATAAATATTTTTTTCCGTGTATTTTGAAATTTTAGAAAATGTAAGGTTAGATGTAACTGCAGTTTAATAATTAATTCAACCTAATATTTCACTTTTCGCACATAACGGCGCCCTTTTTTATCCCTATTTTAAACTTTTTTACAAAATCTCAAATTAAATATACATTTCAATATTTTAAGAGTAAACTTTTTTCGACAAAATTAACAGTGTGAACCTAACCTAAATGATGTAACGTATTTAAGTAGATCATATTTTTAGGAGAGACAATGTTAAAATACATTTTTTAAATATATTTTCAATTTAGTAAAAAGCTCATTGAACCTGCCATCGTGTCACATATATATATATATATATATATATATTGAGCTGACAAGTTGAAAGACATCAATAGATAATGCCAGTCATAGTCGTGTTCACTCAGACGTGAGTTGACTGCTATAAAGAGTATATTTATAAATATATAAGTAGATACCAATTACGCCACTGTAAATATCAATTTATAGCAAATAAAAAAAAGTTGATAACTACACTAAGTCATCTCAATATAATATATATATATAGTACTCAATATGCATATAATAATCATTACCCATAACTATTTATGATAATAACCATAAATATCTTCAATTTATTTTAAAAAAATTTTTAATCAAATTAATTTATTAATGCACTTTTTTCTCTACTATATTAAAAGTTTATTATTAAATGCCACGGAAAAAAATCTTTATCTGGAACAGCGGTATGTTTCACTAGAATAACGAAAACTTTCCCTGTTTTAGTGAAACATATCGCTGTTCCAGTGAAACTTATCGCTGTTCGAAGTAAAATTTTTTTTCATTGTGTATAGTGTAAAAGTTTATTAAATTAAAAAAATTAAATGACTATTAAAATTTAAGAGAATATTGTCTTTTAATAAAGATTAATTCTCTTAAAGTACAATGTATATACATAATTGTGCCATTCAAAGTTATACAGGTTATATGTTTCTTATATACATTAATGCTCAAATGTGAATATTAAGAAACTAATTTCCTTATAATTTATTACTTTTTTCGCTGAGTGTGTATATATCCATTAGCTCTAATTAAAAATTCACTTATAAGGTTTTAATGGATTCCTAACAATGGCTCATTGTTACGTCCCACGCCCGTGATTGATTATCGGAACTACAAACAAATATATATATATATATATATATATATATATATATATATATATATATATATATATATATATATATATATATATATATATGTATATATATATATGCAGAGGAGAATCACGAAATCCTAAATCTCTGCAAGGGTTTGCTTTATTTCAATCAAATTTTCAATTCTTTTAAGGAGTAATCCAAACTCTTATGATTACAGAGAATATATATATTTTATAAATAAAGGTCATTCACGCTTCATGCAAATATATATATATATATATAAAGTTATATCTATACTGCCAACTGTGATATTACTTAACACCGGTGTCGTAAATCTTCCTAATACGTTCAAGGAGTCCGAATGCATGCGTTTGATTTATAAACGGCAATAAGGTTAAATATGTTAAGTGAAAGCCAGTCAGTATAAGTATAAGTATACAAGATGCACTGGAGAACAAATGCCAACCATGGGTATAAATTCGAAACTTGCATAAGTATATATTTATACCAGTATAGATCTGTTTTGGGTCTTATCTTACACTTCACACTTATATATATATATATATATATATATATATATATATATATATATATATATATATATATATATATTCAAAGAGAATTTATTTTGTTAGTTACAATAGTTGTACAGTTCACTTCTGACAATTTGACATAACTACTGATACAAATTCTTAAAAATACACGGTTTCAATATATTTTTTCAATGTGTATATATATATATATAACCAATTTACATTTTCAATATATATTTTTCATCAAAATCTATACTTTTAATCATTTAAATCAAAATATATAAATAAATTCTTATATTTCATTATAATATTGTTGACTTGAATTGAAATAAAAGATTTATTTGATATGGCTATTTAAAAAAGCACATTAAGTAATCGTAGCGAGAAAAATCCAATAGTTAAAATCTTTAAAATGTGAATTTATAAATTTTTTTTTCGTGTTAATTTATAAATATTCTCTATATAAAACTTTTACATGCGCATATGAATATGCTTACAAGTGAATTGATATCTCTTCTGCGAATCATTCGATAAATTATTATTTCCATAAAACATGTTCGCTTCCATAAATTGTTGGTAATAACCGCGCATAGTGTATATAGAGGCGTACATTTATAAATAATATAATTTTATAATATCATAATTCACATTATATTGATATTCTAATAGGCAATTGTATATATGATATTTTAGATAAAATCATAGTCTGTTATATAGCCATTAAAAATTTTAAAAAGCATAATTATTTAACTTTTACAGTTAATATATACCCTAATTTTTATTTAATAAACTAATTTTTATATATGGGTGTCTATACAAAAGACCTAAATTTAAAAGGTCTGATATAATTTGACTTAATTTATACCTATTCTTTTTATTTAAATCTAATTTGTGTAATTTTTTATTTATGGTCAAATAAAAATTATATTATGCCTATATTATTCCAGTTATATTTAATAGAAATTAAATTTATTATTTATTTAATATTGACTTTTAATTTAACAGGGTTGCCAAAAAATACTGATTTCAAAGTTCCATGCGACTTTTACAGGTTTTTCAAGCCATTTTTAAAAAAATTCTGTAAATATAAAATTGTCTTGATAAATTTTTATAGTTACGACAAAAAATACAAATTATGGCAATTAAGGAGACTTCACTATACTAATTTTGACCCCTTTAAATTGAAATTATCAAATGAGGTTATATATTTTTCTTGCATCAGAGTTGCGGTCTCTAAAAACATATAAGGAATTATGTAATTTTATTTTGACTTCCATATCGACATTGACTTTCACTTTCATTTTGATTTTCATTCAAATTAAAGTGAAAATGAAAGTAATCATTTTTGACGAGCTTAGAAATTAAAGAGACTTAAAAAAATTTAAATTTTCAAAATTGTACTTCTTGCGACATTTTTACTATATGTATATTTTGTCACACTTTTTCTTAATGATTTTTAAAAAAAATTCTAAAATAGTCAAAAATTAAAATTTTTTTTGCTTGTATGTGTTTTTAGAACCCAAAAATATATTGATAATTTAAATTTAAGTGAGAGTTAAAATTATAGCGGTGGTGTCTCCCTTCAAATTAACGATAAAATAATTTATTCATTCTGTAAATAATTAAAATTAAAGTTATTAGTTGTTTTCAATATTAGGCGAAAAAAATTGAGAAAATTAAAGGAATTCTACATTTTTATATAGAAAATTAACTTTCCGAAACGAAATTTAAAATTAAAAAAATTTAAATAATTTATTTCGAAAATAAAATTTCCTGACATTTCCAGGTTTTTGACTAAAAAAATTTCATAGTAATTCCATGTTTCCCATAGGTTTTTTCAGACTTGTGGCTATAATATAATAAAACTTATGCCACTACCAGGGCGTCGAGTAAATGTGGATTTTCTAATCAGGCGCGGCTTTTCATTCCCTAATATAGGGAATATTTGAATATATATACATTTTAATGTGTATAATATTTTGCCAAATATTTTTATTTCTTCGAAATTTGGAGATAATTTATGTATACTGATAAATTGGAACTACTATTATAAATGAATGGCGCTAATCTATAGATGACTATTACTATTTATAATCAATTGTAACTAAATTTTTTAGGTTAGACAGGATCAATGAGAATCTTGACCTCATATTTAAATCCTCAATATCAAAAATTTAATTTTCTTTTTTAACCACTCTCAAACTTATTTTTCTCAAAAACGTTATTATATAATTTCTGCCAACTATCACATTAAGTATAAACCCCACTTATCTCCCTTTATCTTCTTTTCATCCCTCAGCCCTCAAAAAAAAAAAAAAACGCTACTTTATTTATCCCTCCCCATTCGAGTAACGACATAAATTTCCGTTCTTCCTGAAGACTAAAACAAAATCAATCGCATCCATCTTCAATCCCTGATACATAAGGATTTTCATCTCCTTCAAGTATCCAAGGAGAGCGCTATACATATTTACAAATCCCCGATGCCGATGGTAAGTATAAGTGCATCGTCTTGCATCCATCGAGGTTCAAGGAGTGCCGGTGTGGTATGGTGGTACACTTGGGAAGGAGAACACGGGGGCGTTCGTACGGTACGTGGAATCATGAAAGGGGTGAAGGGGGGTAAGGGAGGGAGGGTAAAACGATCCGCAGTGAATTATGCGCTCAGACAGAGCATATAAAATCATAGAGACACGAGCGGCTTCGCTATAATAATGCATAAGGAGGCGGAGTGTTGGGAGGAATAGGCCACGCCTCTTCTTTTCGTATCCACACTGGTGGGAGGAAGGGTAAGGAGGGGAGAGAAGGGAATTTCTGCCGGTTTTCATAGAAGGGGAAATAAGATAGATAGAGAGAGAGAAAGAGAGTGAATGTCCCTCAGGGTGGAATAACAGCCGTGCAACAGAGACATTAAAGAAAAGAGAGGTTGCTTTGTATGAGGTGTGTGGTGGGGAAACATGAGTGAGAGAGAGAAGGAGAGCTTTTCCAAACGAGGAAAGAACTATATGGAGGAGAATTACGCTCCCTCGTCTCTCTTTCGAACTCATTCAACGTGAGTCTCCAACGGCGAACGTCTGCCGGTTGAAAACGCGATTTTTCCAAAATTTTAATCATGAGGCAAAATCGGTAACGAAAAATCGGAATTTTTTTTTTAAAAAGGGAGACAAAGGGACAGTTAAGAAAAAAATAAGGAAATTTTTTTTTTTGAGTTAAAAGTGTGCATACAAGGGTGGACCTTGATGGTGTGGTGGTTCGCTGGGTGGGGAGAAAGTCGGGGGTGCTAGTGCAAATGGTGGGGGTGGTCAAAGCGCGCGCAGAAACTCCCTACCCTTAATTCTCTCGTATAAGGGATAGATAAAAAAAAGTGTGTGAGAGAGAGAGATTGAAGGATAGAGGAGAAAAGGAGGTGGTGGGGGGCGTCGCGACGTCAGGCCCAGAGCTGGTCCGTCCGTCGTCCGGCCGACTCGGGAAGATCGGAACCGCGAATTTCGCGAGATCTCTATAGACACGCGAATATATAGAAGCATACACATCGTTCGCGTCGTCGTCGCGCACACATGCGACACGGACAAAAGACAACAAATGTCCAACACGTACGCACACATGCAACCACTCTCATCGGACAGTGCCGTCGCGCGTACAATCTTTGTCGCATCGTCCGATCGTGATGATAGATCATCATGGAGATGTGTAATGAGGAATTAAAATACAAATCAAGAAGGGGAGTATAGTGCGATCCTAGTGATTGATTCTCCCAAAAATAAAAAGAATCAATCGAGAGAAGGAAAAAAGGAACAAAAAAAAAAAGGGTTATCTCTATGGATTACGGATTGAGTTGACCTGCAAAAGTTGTCCTCTAAACACGAGGACTATCAGTTGTTAGTGCCAAAATTTTTTTTTTGGAAAAGCCAATCGAAGTATGGAAGAAAAATCGCGAAAAATGTGTATTTTTCCTAAAATCTTGGATATACTCCGAAAAAGTGTAAATGGTGTCTGACTTATTTTTACAAGAAATCAAAAGTTTCGAATAAATTAACATCATTTTCGTGATAGTGTGAGACTTGAGGATTTTTATTTGTGCGTGAAGTTTATATTTTGAAAGGGACTTTTTTTTTTTGAAGAAAAGGCATTTTAATTTTGTTTTTTTTTTAAATCAACTATTGTCGTACCGACGGCACGAATTTAGGTGGACGCGCCGATCGGGATAGGAGTGTCTAATAATAATCAAGAGGGCAAAGAGGGATGACACGGAGAAAGCAGGCTCGACCCAATCGTGCCCACCTCGAGGACGATTTTGTCCAGGGATCTCTGGAGATTTTTCCCCTGAGAACATTCGAAAATGATACCCGTAAGTCTCTATGTTTATTTTAGAAGGTAGTGACTTGATAAGTGGTTTCGTATATAGATGAAAAAAAAGGGTCGCAGTCTCAGGAGAAAAGTCCGGTTTTGGTGAGACGCGTGGTGGTACTTTTCAATTTAAGTCAAATAAAGTTAAAGAGGTATATAATTATATTCAAAATCTTTTGAAATTGAAATAAATCTAAGAATAAAAACAAAAATTTTTCATCATTCAAACAAAAAAATATATAATATATTATAATTTAAAAATAAAATTAACCCCCTTATTTAATACACAATTAACCAAAAAATCATAGCAAATAAAATGATTAAATTAGTAAAAATACTACTTTTTATTAAATAAAATGTTTTCGTTATACAAATAAGTTACTACTTTAAAAAAAAAATGTTTAATTTACACATATTAACTGTGTAATCCTCGTCGGGGGAAAAAAAAATAAATATACCTAAGTTGATTTTGTACAAATAACGTAAAAAAATGCAAAATTGGTAAATTTTTTTCTCTGAAAGCACTCACTTTTGACAAAGTAGCCAATAACCGATCGTTATCCATCAATTATCACGAGAGCGTGGAATTTGCCGCCGAAAAAAAAGAGAGAAGTTGAAATTGTACGCCTCTTCATTTTACACAACTTTCAAATATATATACAAAATAATTACTTTTTTTGTTTTTTTTTTCAAATGATTTTTAAGTATATATATACGCGACTTTCTTTTGATAAAAAAAAAACTTTCCGACAGTTGGTGTATTTACTAAATTACTTTGCAAATTGTTTCGATTTGAAGAGGTATTTAGTCGCGTATCTTTTAATAAATTACTTTGCAAACTGCTATGATTCAAGGCGGGTCATTACAACCTCTAATGATTAAACCTAAATATATATTATACTTCATTGGAAAACAATACTTGGTAGAAAAATATGTTAAATAATTAAAATAATATGGTAATTTAAATGAAAATTATTTTCGATTAAATATTATATTTTAACTGCAATTAGAAGAATTAGAAAGACTGCAATTAGAAATATTTTCTCTATTTTTCTAAATATTTGTAAAAAATTAAATTAACGGTAAAAATTATTTGAGAATGATTATTTTTAAAATTTGATGTGAGAAGGCTTTTAATAAAAAAGATATATATATAAGATGCTTCTCATAAAATTTATACTATATATATACCTTGCAGTGAATGAAAAACTTATTTTTCCTAAACTACATATAATTATGTAACTTCCTATTTAGACTCTAACACAAAATTAAGTTTTAGTTAAAATACAAAGTGGTTCGATTGAATTAATTATAGTCCACTGTAAAATAAACTATTTTTCGCCAATTATTCCTAATTATATTGATTGTATAACGTATATCGAAAAGTAGAATTAACAGAGTAAAAATATTTCTAATTATAGTCATTTTAGTTTTATGTGTCTAGTTCTATATATTCTAAACATGATTTTTTTCCTAATTTAGTTTTAATATAATATAAAATTAATTTCTATTTTGTATACTCAGAAATTGTATATATATATATATAAAGTGTAATTGAATGTATATTAAGTTTTTCTCGTGACTACCACTTATAAATATCGACATTAACAGAAAACATCGAATTTCTCTATCTTTTATTGAATCGCATCGTCAGTTTCACGCGCCGCAAAAGAAAATCGTTTCTACTCCCGGAGTAGTCGATAAAAGTCGGATTTCGTTGATAGTGGAATCGTAGTATGGCGCTGATGACAGTAACGCCTTTCACGCTTGCGGATCGTTCTCTCTCTCTATATAGCGAATGGTCGCCTCTTCACATCCATATGAACTTGGCAAAATCTCCACAGAGAATCTTATCAATATAGCGACACTTGCAATCGAAAGTTCTAGTCACTTATATCTATAAACGACCTCTTAAATCTTTATATATTTATAAAAATAAATTTATAACAATAAATTTAAATTTTAAAAACATGTATTTTTTAAAAATTAAAATCTGCAAAAAAAAATAATTTGAAAATGGTGAATAATACTATGTATATATATATATATAAATTTAGACACTCTCTGAGATTGGAGTGTGTGCCTTAAGTCTGATGGATGCGTGATAGGCGATGAGTTTCGCTGAATTAATTGCATGGCATGCGATTGAGTCGTTCCGCCAAAGGAATTCATGTCGCGCTTCGACAACGCAGTGCGATAACCTCGGAAAAAGAAATAGATTCCTCTTTTATGCCCGAAAGAATTGTAACCGATTCGCACCTATTTTGTCTTATTAAAAATTGCTACACACCAAAAATAATAAAATATATACCTGATCAGAAAAGTAAAATCTAAATTATATAATATAGCATCTTCATATTAAAATTCACTAATATCAGATATTCTTACTTTTAACAAATAAATTTTCTTTAAGAAAATAAAAAAATCCAATATCAAAAATTTGTTTATTTTATGTATTTAATTGACCTTTTATTTGAAAAGATGTGCAAAAATATTATATGCAAAGTGATTTTAAACTGTCTCGACATAAATGTATATAGTGTATAATTATAATAAATCTTAGAGCACGGATATTGCTTCTTGCGTCAAGATTATGTTTAGCGCTTTTTGAATTGCCTGGGCGATAATATACATCAGGACTATTTGGTTATCTCAATGATTTCGCAGTTGATTTTGCAAATTCTTAACCGTGTGAATATTCATTTTGCATATATATATATATGTATATATATATTTACTCGTGGTCATAATTTACAATATAATAATCTCAAAACATGTCACAACAATTTTAAATCAGTTTTTTAAACATTTTTTTTTTCAAATATATGTAAAAGACTGTTTTTTAAGTTTATAAATATTTAATCTATATTACATATATAAAATGTTTTTTTTATCATGAAAATAAGTACAATGTGACTATCTCAACAAATAATATATACTGCAACTCATCATTTAGATAAAGAACAGTAAATGAATTATTTACATTGGATAAGGGTCGTAAACACAATAAATATTAGATATGACCAGAAGTCTTATGTTTAAATAAATTTACTATATATATATATATAAAATAGAGTCGCTTTGTCATTTCTTATCAATTTTAGTTTCAAAAACCCCTTTTTTCATCGTTTTTAAACATCCATAAATTACTGTCATTGGAAAAATAGATAAAAACATATTTTCCTTAATTTTTCTTTTTAAAAAAATTTCTAATTTGCAGAATTCTTAAAAATGGACATAATTTCTAAAGATTTATATTTCAATTAAGTTTTGTTAGAAAATTACCGTAATAACATAGGTTTTTGGTATTGATCGCAAATATTAGTAAATATATATATATACAAACACTTTCGTGTAGTCATGTTGTTGACAGCCTTACGCGAAGGGTTGAACCTCACGTCATGTGCGAAGTGACGTGAGACATGTAACTAAGGACCGACTAACATCTGACTTACAACGTTCGCATATTAATAGAACCTAATATACGTTGCCACCCGCTGGCTTTCACGACAAGTGCCGTTGTGTCATTCCTGTTTTCTTTGGACAATATAATACTATTATGTTTCACGTTGGCAATTCTAGGAAATAAAATCGCAATGCATGAATGAACGTAAATTTTCTCTTCAATCAAAATTTTACATTTTTCCATTATCGATCCATTTTAAAAAGATTCTTTACTTTCTAAGTTTTTAATTAACTTCTTATTAAATTTAACTTGACATATATATATAGGAAAAAAAAAGTGAAAATAACTCTATTATTATTTTTATTGAAACTGGAAATGTAAAAAAAAATTTTTAATAAAAAGAAAAAAAAATTGAGAAATCAGTTTCATGTTATAACAGGGGAAATTGACGAACCTGCTATATAAATGATTCTAGAGACTCAACCACTTCTTACATATTCATTTGCGCTCCTTTACAGGCAATAAACGCAAACTTCGCCGTCTCATGCACCTGCAACGTTCGTTGCACCGGGTTCTACACACTATATCGAATAATTCTTATTGATATATATACACACTTTTGTTCACTTTAACTTTCTGTATAATTGAGAATAAGCATTTCAATTTAAGATAAAAAGATCCTCAAAATTTATTATATGTTATATTTCGTGATAAGAAAAATTTTTATTGGTAACTTGGCAATGATTTTATCCAATCTATTTCCACTTAATATAGTATATATAATTCTGATTAACATGTATAATTATATAAATATTATTCAAGAGTAAATTAGTTCTGAAACTTCATTATCAATATAAATACACCGAGAGAAACGATTAATTATGGTTACCATTTTTTTTAGTAATTACTAATTTATAACTATTTATATTTATTTATTTATAACTAATTTATATTAGTTATATGTTACCATTTAGTTAGTCAGCCTAACCATTTCATTAGTAAGGTTACAAATTAAATAGTTATTCCAACGAACTAATTAGTTAAACCAACTAATAGAATAGTTACGCCAACCAATAAAAATAACAACTAATAAATTAGCAGCAGTATAGTTTACTAACTTCATCTCAAAAATGGTAATCCCAACAAATTTTTTCCCTCAGTTTATTAAATATTGCTAAATTCTTCTAGGGGTACTATATATGTAAAATTTTAAAACAAAATTTATTTAATTCAAATAAATTTGATAATAATTAAGTGACCAATTTAAATAAAAAAAAAATCATGAAATTAATAATAACTTCATCAGAACGATATAAAAATATAATTTTCGCGTTGTTAAAAGGAAATAATTTTTTTTGCATTATGAGGAATTTATCAATTGGAAAATAAGAAGAGGTAGAAAAGAGATAATCGCGATGAGAGTGCAATTGAAAAAAAAACTTTTGGGTTGACTTACCGGTTTCTTGCCCTTTGTCGTCGAGCGAGAGAGTGAATATTTTTGGTCGGTCCGCGTGGATGCGGGAAACGCGTGGGTGTCTCTATACGACAGTCGTGTCTGCCAACCCCAACGTTGTCAACTGATATCCATCTTTTTT